CGGGGAACTACCTTGTGACCCAATTTCATTGACCTCGGTCTAACCGATGACATCACAGATTAGGTCAAATGTCGAATTTTCACCGTTTACAGGCATTTCAAGAAACGCTTTGTAAGATCGAGTAAAATGTATGTCATTGAAAATCATCGATGGGAATTGTCCAAAAAACACATATTTTGCTCTTTGAGATCACTTATACCAGGTCAGGTCACAGAGGTTAGGTCACTGAGGGTCAAAATATGAAAATATCATGTGATGCATGTTTTATGGTCAATTTTACGTGGCAAATGCAATTATCTGGGTCAGGCCTGCCCCAGCCTTTGGGGTCAGTTGAGGTTATGTTCTGGTGAAGGTCAGGTCAAGGTCAGGTAAAAAGGTTAAATTTCAAACTTGATATTTTTGCATAAAATGGGTTTCAATTCGATGCAGTTCGTCACGGGGGGGGAGGGTCTAATGGTGGTCTTTGTTTTGCGCTACGTGGTCTAGAATTGCTAACAATTGATTTCAAAAATTTGGCATCAATTTTGAGCAGTTTTTTCACTATAACTTGGCCAAAAAAGGAGGTATCGATCTCAAATTTGGTATGTAGATAGAAGAGGGTAGGGACTATCATATATATTCCGTTTTTTTCTGAAATTTGAAAAATGTTTAGGATTTTTGTTTTTTTAATCAATTCTATTTTTAGGGGTCAAAATCACAAAATTTTGAAAATCCAAGACAAAAGTTTTGTAGGGCCGTTTTTTCTTTACAGGACCATATAAAGAACTTTGAAATTGCTTGTTAACTGTAGCTTTTGACAGCGTTTCAAGATTTCATGTTCTTTGCTCATTTTTGCTCGAACTTGACCTCAGTTTGACCTCAATAGCTCCTGACCTAAAATGGCCTTTGACTTGAAAGTTTGCATATTGGTTTCAAATTGATATCTGAAAAGGTACTAAAAATTTGGCGGCGCTGTGCGCCACCGTTTTTCTCGCCTCCAAGAACAACCACAGGGGGCCAAAATGCTCCTCCTTTAGGGCGCGGGTTAACATTTGCATAGGTATTTTGTATTCATAGGTATTCAATTTCACTAGCTGATGACAATATAAATACGAAAAAGTCGAAAGTCATTGAACTTGAAAGCCTTTGTGAATGACCTCTCCTTGAAATTGTATGTAGGATATATTTTACAAAAAGTCAAATACAGAAATGATAAATTTTCGATCACGGATCTTTGTCAAATCACATGACTTTGTCAAATCACAAAACTCTTTGACAAAGATCCGTGATCGAAAATTTATCATTTCTGTATTTGACTTTTTGTAAAATATATCCTACATATACAATTTCAAGGAGAGGTCATTCACAAAGTATTTTAAAATACAAATGCTCGTTGCACAAGCACTAAGAAGAACTTGAAAGCCATAGAAATATTATCCTACAAGCGATTACAGGACAAGTCTTTGGTATTTGAAGAAATGCATGGGAAGATTTGCGCGACGAAAAACTTAGCCGATTTTTTGTGGAACACTTTCATCATTTTTTCTGACCCTATTCCACAGGCTCCAGTGCAGGGGGGTGACACCGTAATGCTGTGCCATAGGCCGATGTTGTAGCCAGCTGATGAGCAGGAATGACGTCATCGGCCCATGATAGCCCTGACCAATGTGATCCAACCCATTGCGACTTAAGGTGACCTCTGTGACTTGGCCTGACCCATCGTGACCCTGGGTGACCTCTGTGACCTGACCTGACCCAGGGTGACCTGAGGTGACCTAAAGTGACCTTTGTGACCTGAAATGACCCAGCGTGACCTAATTTGACCTTTTTATCTGGAATTCACCCATTTGGACCCCCTCGTTCAGCTTTTCGCGTAAGTACAAGACTTCTGAACTGGTTATTATCGCGTAAATGCCTTATTCGTGATAGCGCCGTGTAGCAAGCGGTTCACCTAGTGTGAACGCGGTCACGGCTTTCAGCAAGCTGGCACGCGGAGCCCGGAGGTCTTAGCTCCGCGTTGCCGGAGCTGAGCGCCAGCTGGACGACACGCGGCAGGAATGTATACGGTCACTGGCTGGTCTTCATGTCAGCGAATGCCGAATGGCATGGCCAGCTCAAGCACAGGCCGCTGACTCCAGGCGGCCAGCTGCGCCTGCAAGCTGTCTGCCATCAAGCCGGTGGCGGCGGCGTGGCCAGCGTGCCGAGCAGCTGCACCGCGCGACACCGCAGCCGGCAGCGGCCCCATCTCCGACTAGCACCGGCCTCGCCGAGCGCCGCCCCGGCGTCAGCTACTATTGGTACAGGTCGGGCACCATGGCCGCAGTGGCTCGGCGCAGTCGGCCCAGAGCGCGGCCAGCTCGGCCAGCACCGGCAGCGACAAGTCCAGAGCGTCCGTGGCACGGCTGACCAGCGGCAGGTGGATGCAAGTCCCCGCCGAAATTTGGTTGCATCGAAATTCGCCACGACATTCAGTTCCTAGGGCCATAGCGTTTCCATGCTAAATGCTCTGACTTTGTGAAGCGATATTTCCAACGCTTTTACTTTTTTGTATATGGGCTGCACCTTACCCCATCAGCCCCGCGTTGAGGCAGAACCCACCGGCCAGGCTCCATCTGCCCCTCCCGCACTAGCAGAATCTCTTAATCAGCCTAACATAATCAGAATCGCCGATCAGTTCCGGCCGGTACAGCCTGTTGGTCTCTGAGCCGATGGCACCGGAGCCGTAGCGGTTAGTCAAAGCTTAGCAGGTGCTCCAAGTCCAGAGCCCCGTCAAACGACAGAGGAGGCACCTAGCAGCAGCACAGTGCCGTCGACCGTTCCCGAGCCGATAACCAAAACTACAATGAGTTCCACACAGTCACTATGTCCGCCGTCGATGAACAGTTGCCCCCTCCCCCTCCCCAACTCCAAGCTGGATCCGCGCTTGAACTCAGTAGTTGACAGTATTTTGTTGACAGTATTTTTGGTTCTAACTTCTATGCTGTCTAGTCACGAATGTGCGTTGTGCATAGCTTGGCATTTATATCAACCTATGACATGCTAATGATCGTGTACAAAACAGCTGGTTTTGTGTTTTGGTCACCTAGTTTCTGTCTACCCGTTTGCTACGGGCGGGCCCACGGCTTAGGTACAGCAGTCGGTACCGTCGGCACCGACTGCAAAATAGAGAAAGTTAGCTGCAATTTTTTGCTGTTGAAAGGTTGCAAGGATATTGAGTCAAAGGGTTAAGAGGCCGCTGAACGTTTATTGCATTCCAGTTGGATAAAATCGATCACGAAACAATTGGCGCAAACCCCATTCAGTTTCGCTGCCGTGGGTGGGCGGAGTCGGCGGAGTATGGGCCGATGACGTCATCCTCCCGCCGGCCGTGATTCGCCCCGATTGGCCGATGTCCATACCTGGTTAGAGGGCCTTGCTCCAGTGAGGTTCACCAGAGCCAGCGACAATGGGGAGGACCCTATGTCTGGCCCTGTCGGCAGTCGTCGTCACCGCCGTCTTGGCCACGTGTCCTTCCTCCGATTGGAAGCAGTTCCGGGACATGTGCTACTGGAGGTCTGACACCGATTTCGAGCTGACGTGGGACGACGCTGTGCAGGTGTGTCCAGCTTTGTTTCCTGGCTCGGACCTGGTCTCGATACACGACCTGGACCTGGACGCCTTCATTGCTGAGAACCTTCTCGATGGCCATCCATACTGGCTGGGACTGCGCAGAGCTTCTGACTCATCGCCATGGGTCTGGACAGACGGCTCGGTGTACAGCTACAGTAACTGGTTTGGAAACGATCCTCAGTGTAGCGGTGAGTGCTGTGCTATCATCAATTTTGTAAACTATGGAGACTGGACGGGGTGGACTTGTAACATTGACGTTCCTTTTATGTGTCAGATAGAAGCATCGTGAAACATGCCAGTAGCTAACTACGTAAGTGCCTACCGTGCTTCCCAGCTACACGGGCTGCGGTGACCCGTACTTTGAGGACACCTCACTCGTGAAATGTCTATGTGACTACGCTGAATAAATTTGGGTGTGGCTGTGGCTGTGGTGTTGTTTAGATCAAAGTCCAAATTGTCAGTCTACATAATTATATCTTCTTGCGCAACACTTTCTCGACATGGAATAATGTGCAAGCATGGTTTACCTATTTATGATTGTTAGAATACTTGTTTCCGTAAGATAGTAGGCAATGAAAGGAGAATACGCCCGCAGGCCCCAACACTTTTCTTAATTAATTTCATGGCTTAAAAAAGCTATCGTAGTTCGTTCTTCATAGACAGGCAATTCATCGTTCAGATAATCTTTATAGCCTTATTTTCCTTTGCAGCATATGCCTATTCTGCTTCGCAGCGATGCCTGTATGAACTCTTTGAATAAATACTCTTCACGAATTTCCTTTTATGAAATTTACGAAATCACAAAATTTCGTAGTTTTGGTCAGAAACGCATTTCTCCATTGTGATCAGCAGGAAAATGCTGCAACCAACTCTGCTCTTTAGAAACATTGACAATGAAATCTGATGGCTGCTTTACTAACTAAGTCAGCGTTATTGACACTTATGTCAATATCTTATTCTTCTGCAACATCTTATTCTTCTTCGGTGTCGCTCTTCTCCAAAAACCTTGGTACCTACGCCTCAGAGGAATGGTATGCCTGACCTATCCAAGGCTATCAGTTTCGTATCGTATCATGTCGAGACCAGTACCTGCAATACATGGATAAATTATCTGCGAGAATTATGATTCGTTGATACCGTGTCCTGCAACTGCGACGAAAGGAAATAACGTCGTTGTAGTCATTACGTGTCAAACATGCATTTCCCACTATATAACGAACACATCCATTACTATTTTTCAAAGAACAAGTAGGTACTTGCAGCGAACAGCAGGTACAGGTACTTGATGCACAGAACTTGCAACTTTTAAGTATACCACTATAAATCTAAACATGCACATCAAGCACTATGCAGGTTGTAAGCAGCCTCATATGTAGATAAGATAGCATCATATCTTAGAAATGACACATCATTTATGACGCCTCCATCTGACACAAAAACGGTATATCACCATCAATACAATCAGAAGGCGTCCATTCACCGTCACTTCCGTAGTTGATGGCGGCACAGCAGGGGTACCTGTCGCCACAATCTGAATAATCCATGAACCAGCGACTGTAGTTGTATGCCGATCCGTCCGTCCAGACCCAGTCGGATGACGAGTTCTCCCGTCGAAGGCCCACCCAGGCCGCTTGACCTTTGAGCAGTTCTTTGGTGAGGAAGGTGTCCAGTCCAGCATCGTGTATGGAGGCCAGCTCTCCAGACATATTTCGGCATACCTGTCCGGCGTCATACCATGTAATCTTGGAGTAGAAGGACCTCCAGTAGCACATGTCCCGGAACTGCTTCCACCTGAAGGAGGGACACGTGGCCAAGACGGTGGTGACGATGGCGGCCGACAGGGCCAGACGAACAGTCCACCCCATTGTTGTTGGAGAACCTCGCAGGGGAGCCTGGTGGCTCTGGGAGTGTCGAGAGCCTCTGGCGCTCGGGTGGCTCTTATAGGTTGCAAGTCGCAGGCAGGCGGTTATATACACAGGTACTGTCGAATTGCCCAATCGAGAACAGTCCCAATGTGTTGAGACATCATACGCCGAAACCTTGGGGAGCAGCGTCGCATAGGATATTAGCATTGACGTCAGATATTGCACCAATAATGACGTCACTGAGGATGCCACTATAGACATAATTTGTGGCCGTACGGCTGTTTGGTTCGATGGCTAGCTGTAAGCTGGGTGACCAAGACAAGCTATTTGGATATCGGGCTGCACGTCCGCGCGTGTATGCACGACTACCGCCACTATTTATTTATCGCCAACAGGCGTCCTACCGGTAAATACTGATACTTACAATAAGAGTTTCAAAACTGACTGGGACCAATTAATTCATTGTGCCAATATGTCGGAAAAGGACATTTCCACTCATTTCCCTCACCGGGCTACGGAGGGAGCTTCCACCAGCAGAAAACAACCACCACCAGGGTCCTGGCATCATGCCACCGGGAGGTCAATGCCTTCACACCTATTGCCTATAGCTGCTAACTCAACTTGTCGGCGAAGACTCGTCAAAAGTCATCAGACATTCACTTTGCCTACCTTCCGATGTTCATATCATAATGCGGTGGGGAATAAGCATTTAGAAACTATGCATATTGCAGCACAGTTGCAACATACGTTATCCCACACCGGCCACAGCCACACCCTTGAATCTCGGAATATTTGCGTCGCAGCTTAGTCAAGGACATATCTCTCTCCACAGACATACGGCGCCGTCTCACGGATGTCCCAACTGCGCAGCGGAAGAAACGTCTGCAGTTGGGCACGTGTTATGGGTCTCACTGATGCAACAAGGGTCATACATGGCAACAAGGTCAAAGGTGGGCCTGGGGTCCTGTTTGGGATTCTGCCGCAAACGATTTAATCATGAATTTTGCGGCAAGGCTAGCGGTTACACACCAGTGACAGTATGGTTTCAAATTGCTCTTGTTTAACCCGCGCCGGGTAGGGCGTGTTTGAACACACACCCCTTGAGGTTTTCACAGATACGATATCTAATAAACGGCGGTGCGGAGCGCCGCCGTTTTGGGCACACGTGTCCGTGCATCTTTTCCGCACATGTGAAAATTTCAAGCCCAGTCAGTCGTCAGATCACCAGGCCGCGTCAAGTGAACTCACCTCAGAAAAAGTTAGACTCCTTGTCATACACCGACTGAACGATCGCCTTGAAACTTTCAGCGATTGATAACAGTAGAGCCTATATGCAAATTGTATATCTCAGAATTTTGATATCGGCGACCTAGGGTCAGGTCAATTTTGCGACCTGTCCATTAGAAGTCAATGAATGGGAGAAAATTGAAAGGCGTGTAACAAATGTAAAAAGTAAATAAACAATTTCTTCTTCTGTGATAGTCTGTTTGGGGACCTCTTGTTCGAGCCGTATAACCAACACGGTTTTTCTTTTCTTGAAGTATGTATTGCAAATTTGACGACAGAATCCAAAAGTAATAAACAGTCGGCCGAGACTTTGAATAACGATACGTCAGGCCGCTACGGCGGTTGGCTTTCGAATCCTCCTTTCACAGCTCCTGCTCGGCGTTCGGCGTCGGCCGCTATATTCAAACGTCATACACACACGTCATACATATAGATGTACGTCATATCATAGCACCAATCAGAAGCGGGCGAGGACAGGCGTCGCAGGTGAGGAGTGAGGACCATATAAGGGTATTGTAAGTGGGCGAGGGGGCTGGGCAGTAAGTAGGTACAGAGGGAGGTGGAGGACGGGGTAGGAACGAATTTCGTTACAACACAACGCGAGGTCCTTAAAGCTGAAATTTTGACCAAAATTTTCGGCTTGGGATACTCCTAATATGATGCATGATATAACGTACACAACACACGACACAACACAAACAACACCTAACACAACAATATACACAGCACCTCAACACACAATTTCCCGTTCTTTTTCGTTGTAGTCCTCGTAGCTATAAGTCTATAGAGTCTTCTTCATTGTCCGCTTACGAAACATAGTCTACTGTCCCACTCGTGCTCATCGATTCGGTTCTCGCTTCGCAATCACTGGTAAAATTCCGCTGCGGGCACATCAGTTCAGGGAGTTCAGAGAGTTCAGAGGGTTTAGGTCACCTTTGACGCGGCTGTCTGACACGTGTTTGTCCGTCCATTGTCCATTGACACCAGATCGTGTGTCAGATATTGACACATTGACGTTCTCACGTCTCGCGTATTGTTGTGGGTCGTCCGTCCGGTGTCGGCTGACCAGACCACGCGTCATCGTAGTTTTATCGGGGCGCCCGGACGTGGGGTGTCCGATGCGGGGCGGCCCGATCTCAGTGGCGCTGACTAGCACCGGCGGCGGCTCGACCGAGTGTGGGAGCGCCGCTACTGGTACCTCTGCTGCGGAGAAAGAACTCCTCTGGAAAATATTTGCATCAGGCATCTGCGGATTTCTGAGAAGCGAGGGTTGGAGACGGTTTTAACCATTTTAAGCACGAGGGACTTGGGTCCGTGAGTTTTTCCCGGGGCTTGATATTTGGAGCTACACTTGACGTTTCTTCAACAATAACGCTGTCAGGGGCAGGATTTTGAGCGGATACTTTCTGGGGTCGGATCATAATGGGTTTAAACACATGACATCGGACGTATAGAACAGTTAATAGCACTAACGCAACCACAATACACGTTGTGACCGAGATGGCGGGGATAACGACAGTTTTATTATGCTGCGCATTGCGTACTCGAATCTGTTGAATATGTTCCTTCAAGTTAGACAAATGGACACTTTTGTCCTGAAGTGGGGGAATGAAGTTTACGGCTTCGGGGAGTGAAACATTAGTTTCCGAAAGATCAACAAGTACCGCATTTGACCAAGTATCTATTACAATGTCAATAACTTTTACGCTCTGGTTAAACTTAGCAAAAAGCTGAATTGCCTGGTCACTTCGCAATTGTTGGCGGTGCTCTGCAAATATACTACTGACTTTACTTTTAAAGAGCTTCACATGATGCTCCAGCTTCAATACAAACGTCCATGATGTCCTGGTTTCGATGGGGATGTGAAGAGTCCAGTGGTCGTATGAAGCGTAGAGATGGCCTCGGGGCAGGAAGAGAACGTTGGCCGTTGTCGGAGATGTCAGATAGAACCGGAATGTCAGGAAGAACGGTCTTGCCCACATCTCTGGAACACACACAAATAACTATTAACATTTCGCAAACATGAGGTTAGTACACGAACAATTGAACGGTTCACTGACCGAACGTAAAATGAACAACACATAAATGGCTGTGGCATACTAGCCAGAGTCGGTATATCATTCAACACAATACAACGTGGTACCGCGATTACGTTGTCTTCGGCATACAAACCGGGATCCATATTATATATAAACACTATAACACCATACAGCCGTTCAGCCTTCATCGTACTAGCTGGGTTCCACAAAATACTGTAGACATTCGGCTGTCATCCGACCTGTAATAACTCAGTGGGCCGGGGAACCTTTTTACATTTTTTCTAATTGTTTGAACATGTCGGTCATCAGCTTCTCATGTGTTTTCAGCATCTTAACTAACAGGGCTTCTTTCACACGTGGGTTAGTACACATTTGCTCCTTTTCAATATGTACACCATCGGCGTCCAATTCGTCTGAATCCGATTCGTGGTCTTGGTCGGCACATTGTAATTTTGAAGGAGGGCTACGCGCTTCTGCATCCATGTCGTTCGACTCTGATTCTGTACGGGTGAGTGGTCTTTTCATAGGGGTAGGTTCAATTTCGAATGGATCAGATAACTTTTCCGTTCTCAGGCGCTTTTCTAATTGGGACAAAGGAATATTCTCGTCGTCAGAACTATTGTCTTTCGATTTTTCTTCTCTCCATCGTTTTCGCATTTCGGATAACGGCACGTCAAGATCTGCATCGGAATCAGAATCTTCAGGTAAAGGTGGGTAATTTTGTTCACTCGGCGACGGTTTCGCTGGAGCGTAAGTTTCAACAGGGGTTGATATCGAACTGGGGGTTGAATCACGAATAGACTGATCTGTGACTGTTTCAGTATTATGCATTTCTGTATCAGCGAATGAGAACTTTGATTGACGTGGAGGCTGCACACGAGATGGAACTGGGATAAACGACTTCTGTTTACTTTCGTACTTGCTGTTGATATGATGTGGTTCTTCTGTCACGTTTTCCCAAAGGGTATCTGGATCAGCGAATCTCAAATTATGAACGTTCACTACTTTGACATCGCCAGACAGCTGGTTCTTAATGACAAAGGTTACGTCGTTGATGGCTTTGATAACGCGGTAAAAAGGTTTCCAATGGCACGACAGTTTGGAAGCATTTTGAGTCGCCTCTGTAGGGTTTCTGAAGTAAACCATATCACCGACTGTGATTTTCGTTGGTTTGGCGGTACGATCGTAATAAAATTTGTTTCTCTCATGACTTTGTACTAAGTTGTGACGCACATGACTGTAGGCAGAATGCATGTTTTCGAGCATGGTAGGTACGTAATCTTCACCTTGGTAACGATATTTTGGAGATAAAATGCTATCGAGTGGTAGAACGGGGTCACGACCGTAAAGAAGGAAGAAAGGGGAATACTTGGTAGTCTCGTTTTTCGCGGTGCGATAAGCAGACAAGATTGAAGGAAGCTTTGTGTCCCAGTCACGTTGAGATTTACTCACTAACTTTGCTAACATGTCGTTCTGAACTCTATTATATCTTTCGCATTTGCCGTTCGATTGCGGGTGGTAAACGGAAGTTCGGATATGTTTAATGTTACTAAAAGTTGTAATTTGGTCTATGACGGCGTTACAAAACTCTGTACCATTGTCTGAAATCATAATTCTAGGACAAGCATGGCGAGGGATGATATGTTCTAATAAAATTTGAGCAACCGTTTCTGC